TATGAATTATATGATAAACTCAGTTGAAGTTTTAACCTTCAACTTTCAATGTTCCAGCGGCACCCACATCGAGAGAGATGCACTATGTGTGTTTACACCTTGAAGTTTCCATCTAAACTTCGATTCTATTCAACGATCAAGTTTAACTATCTAGGTCTACAAGAGTCTACTAGAGTCTATCAAGATCTAACAGAATCTAGACCCTTTCAGACCCTGGTAGAAATATTTATAGAAAATAATTGCCAGAGAATTATTATAGAATTCATTTGCATCATCCAGTGCATTCAAATGACGAAAGATATATAGACAATGACAATATTCACATGGAGTCATATGATCTGGATCGCAGAATGTCACATGTTTTTGAAATGCTGCCGTAGTTTGAAACTCGATATAGAAGACGCATTGCGGACCTGTACGGCGTGGTCCTGTTGTAACAAGAAGTAATAAATGTGTAATCATGTCTTGCTCAAGTGGTAAGCAAGAAACGTCATATTTCGACAACTGATAATGCCCACACATTCGCATAATGATGTGGATTAGTCTTCGATTTAATATGTTCTTTCATCGACTTTTGCATACAAACAATACAAAACTTGTGATAGAATTTGCATGGCATCACATGTCTCAAAGTTCTCATGGAACCTAATGGTGACTTGCTAAAAAAAAGGGATCAACAATAAACATTACTAGGATCCTTCAATCATTTTGGGCAAGAAATGATCAATCAAAAAGCAGTGAGAACCTAGTTGCAAGTTGAACGGAATTGATAATAAATGTTGAATCATATAGCAGAAACACTGAACTATGCTGATTTTTTTTAGTAGTTACATAGAGACTGGGGTAAAATCTTTTCAGAAATATCTCCTTTGACAGTTTCCTTTCGGTTTTGATAATAAATTGTACTTATTTCACAAAAGAAATTGACTTACTGTTTGTGAGATACAAAACAATTCCCTGATGAGTATGTCTCGTTTAATCAACTATCTACCAGTTAACTCTTCGTAGCCGACAATCTGACTCGGAAGAATGACTGTTTCGACGATATGTTGGTTATATTAGTTGTAGTAATTTCAGCATTAGTGTAGTACAGATCAATGTTTCACAGTAAATTCAAGTTTGACTTGGTATCGACTTCATAGATGAAGCAAGATTCAGCCAATAGATTTAGACTGATCGTAAATGGTAATAGAACAATTTATTCGTTGTGTGACTTTGCAGTTCTTTGAAAAAATCTTTCAATCTTGAGACATTAAATGACAAAAAGTTCGGCTCTGATCTGATTGAACGATGAAAGCTAATCTCACAATACTAGTGCTTTGAATTTGAGTTCACAAGTTGCTTAAATATGACATATTCAAAATTCGTACCCATAACTATGTCATACTTCAATGCGTATGGTCTACGTACCATATAAAATATGTATAGTTATCACTTTTCGCTGACTGTTTTGAATGTGACAGATACGAGGATTGATCAAGACACGCGTTTATGTAGCCGATATATTCTTTTTCGAAAACATCCTTGGAGCAAGTGATACACGGTTTTGCCTACTTCAAATGCGTCGTTGTTTCGCAGCACATCAGTACATGACTTCTGTAGTGTGCATCCTCGATGAATTGGAAGCACAACATGCATTCTTGACCATTACTCGAATTCCGAATATTGGATAGTTTTTATTCATTGTCATAATCGTTGAGTGCTCTAAATAAACGATTAATCTGATAGAAGACATTCCAAATGGAATTATCTATGTTTATTTTCACCTTGAAGAAATATCTAGTTAAATGTAAACCCACTAGCTGATGATCGAAAACCGCATGACACAATAGTTTCATACCTTTTCTGTTCACTATGTTTACAAAAATCGATATCAACAGCAACGGAGATATTAGAATCACACAATTATTCAGTTTATGCCGAAATATTAACGAGAGAGAGTGTCCCACGATCGTTTTTAAGAAGACTATTTTATTTGTAACCAGTTTTCATCATTTTCAAGGTTATGTATTTAGATTTATTCGATTTAGAAATTTTCAGTAAAGCCAAGCTATTTCGAACCATTTGTATTTTACTGAATCCTTCATAAGTATTTTAAAAAAGTAACAGCATGGCATACTGATCTCATACAGATTAGATTAACGTTTCATTATGTCTACATTCGATACGCTTCGATTATCTATACATTTAACTCAGAAGACACATATGAGAAGGAAAGCTAAATTATGATCAAATTTCAAATATAATTTTATATTACTAATCTAAGCATAGTGGCTCTTTGTTTAGAGCGTTCTATCAGATTACAGGAGCAACTAACGTAGACAATCGAGACAGTCAATCAGACTGTTCACTCTTCTCTACTATTTTTCGAGACTGGCTTAAAGAAAATTCGTGAAACTTTCACAGTAGTCCTAATATTGTTTTTGTCATTAAGTGATAATGTTTCCTTCTCTAACGAAAATCAAAAATCAAATTTTAACTTGATAAAAATTTCGAGTTAACTACCATAATTCATCCAGAGAATATTTGCTGTAAAAAGAAATAGATGCTCTGTAATTGATTCGAATCATTTCTTAAAGGTTTCTGCTCAATTGGTCGCAGTTCGTACTAAGTTAGAAACTTCTGTTTTTCCCTAGAAGAAAGATGAGTTCATATTGTTAAAATTGTAAATCGGTTCACCGGATAGAGGACGCTTTAGGTCGCATCGTAATTTGAGAAAACAAAAATTGAATATTTCGAAATTATGAGATGCGAAAGAGGAGATGGGAAAGGAGTCAACTTAAAATAAATGTATTTTCAAATATCAAAGATTCTTGTTTGTGCAAAAACCTAACACTTGCCATATAAAGATACGAGTAACTTACGGACATAACATTGTTCGTCTGAGATCTAAAATAAAGCTCTTGAAGATTGGTAGAAGTAGATAAGGACACGAGTTATAAAGTACTTGAAACTTGTAAATAGTTGCTCACTACTCGCTTCATGCACGAATTCTTTTTCTTGTCTAAGAGTAGAAAAGAAAAATAAAGCGTGCATTTATTTTTCATCCTTCCGACAAAATCATGATGGATACCAAGAAAAAACAGAAGACTGATTCAAAGTATTTAGCTCAATAGGTTGCAAGAATTGCATTAGTGCCATTCTCTCTTCTTTCCAAGTAAAGCAAGTTTCCCTCACTCATACTAGCTGAGGAAATACTTCATACTGCTTGTTCTCTATTATGAAACAATATCTTATCGATTACGATGTGGACCTGATGGCATTAATGTGAATAGTTGAGTAGATTATGGGAAGAACCACGCATACATCCACCGCCATTCTTACACTATTTTTTTCTCAATATTTTCTCTAATGCAGATGATCGAAGTGAAGATCAGAGCCAATCTCTATGCTTTGAGAAAGAAACGATAGGTTTTTCGAAGCATACCAGTTACTGGCGTAGAACAAATAAAAGTTGATTTACACTCATAGCTTTTCTTAATTCTTGATTACATAGAGAATCATTGTTTCTATAAGAAATCCGATTAAGTAGTAACTTCTATCTCCACAGAAAAAGTTTCATAAACAAATAAAAGATAGAATATTTTTTTTCGCTGATGTCAGTTGGATTTTTCAATACAAGAGGCATGTAACAGTTTGATAAAGTCAACCGAGTATTATTGGCCATTTTATTGTTCACTGAATTAGCTGCTTTCTATTAGCTTCACAAGAGTCTTCTATACTTTTCAAGCTATATATAGAGGACTTACTCCGATCTTAGATCGTTAACATAACAGGTACACCAAAAAGAATTGTTGTCTCAGCATTTTTTAATTGCTCTCCCCTACTTCACACATAATCGAGCTTACTTTTTTAATGAAAAGATTCTCCGCTGAAATCTCTAAAAGAATCCACGAAACATATTTTCCTCACATTGTAGAAATAGAAAACTGCATAAGATACTCTAAAACATCTCAGGAACCCGAAAAATGCCAAATTTTTTCATAATTTTTTCTTTCATTTGATAGGTGTAAAGGACATAAGAATAAGTAATTCGTCATTTTGCAGTCAATAAATTCTCTATCTTTCTGCTCTGTTTGAAAAGAATTCGCATAATCTTATGTTGCGCAAGGAAGCTTTAATTTTTCTGCTGATTGTGAAAAAATTGATACACCCTTTGCGTCGGAATATCTAACTGAAACGAGCTTTGTTTTTCATAAAGAAAAAGAGAGTAAACTCAATCCAACCAGAAAACTAGCTCTGATATATATTTTCATGTTATTTGCGTCGTTACGCAAGAAGTGAACATCTTCATTAAAACGCACGTAGAAATCATTTTATTTGTATTTGTTTTAAATAACAGCTTATCAATCAAATTTTAGTTTGAATGTGTTTTTAAGAAAATAATAACATTTATCTTTTATATCTTTGATATTAGAAGGTGCACGTACATTTACAACTGATCTCTTAAATTATATTACATATTCTTGATAAACTTGACCAGATTCATGTAAGATAAATTCACGATACTCTAATTTATTTCCACCATACTTGGTACATAATAAAATCGTACAAGGTGATTGAATAGTTGAAAGAAAGATGCATATCGTGCATGAACTAGACAACCAACAGTAGAAAACAGCTCACGATATTTAAAATTATGAAATATCTTAAAAACTGTTACGGCCAAAGCTAAAGTAAAGTCCTAGAAGCGTTTTTGACATAAACTAGAATCTAACCATCATTCGACTGGTAAAATATTTTAGTAAGCAATTAGAATAGTACACTCAGCAAATAATAATTATTATGAGAGTCATTAGCTTGCATATTTTCGTTATTGTAACATAACTTTGATGAGAGTATTATTTTACACTTCGAATACATTTTTTTTTATTTTGAACAATAAAAAACTATGAAAATGCTTAACACGAGCATAGAATTTTTTCTCTTTGCTATTAATTTTATCCGTACAAAATAACTATACTACAAGATACAGTAAGATTTCATTTATACATTATATATTATTTTTTATTTATTGAATTGGAGTAATCTTTGAGTTGATCAGCAATATGTTGGTTATGCTTCACCGTAGCAAGACCTTGACACCCACGTTTTAATGGTTTTTGCAATTTTAATTGCTTTGGAGCATTTGTTGTTAAACTGTAATGTCCCTTTTGATCAATAAATCCACTAATCTGCTCGTTAGTCAAATGTTCAACTGATATTTTTCTCCATGAATCAATAAATTTCGGATTAATCCGAAAACTGGGATCATTATCAGTATAAAATAAAACTTCTCTTTTATTACTTTTTACTTTAACAACATGGCCATTTGCTATTACGCTTTCAATTATTTTATCAGCTCTTAGTTTTTCTATTGAATCTCGTACGTCCTCAACAGTTATTGCACCTTCACAATTTTCATGTCGTGCTTTTAAAAGTTTCAGAATCGACGATTTTTTTGGATCTTTTAAATCAAGGGCTGGCTTATATACAAATCTATGAATACCATCAATTGTTTTAACATCAATTTTTTCATTTGATAAAAGTGCTTGAGAAGCAAGCCAATGTTTATCAGATGAATTAATTGTAAGACTACATTCTTGTATAATTTCATCTAATGTTAATGGATCATTTTGTCCAGTAGAAAAGCGTTCTTGTAATTTTTCGACAATATTTTTTAGCATCAAAAATGGTGATTTTGAAGAAGTACTTGATGAATCATAGTTAGTTCTGAAATCAGAATATGTTTTCGATCGATCCAATTTTGACTTCATTTGACTTGTTTTCTGTGATGACGTTTTATCAGTATCTTGACGTTTTAGTTTTGATGCACAAGAAGTTGTTGACTCGGCTTTCTGTTTAAGAAATTGTTCTTGTTCTTTATATAACACTGCTGATGAAAATTTTATCATTACATGAAATATTTCTCGGTACACCTGTAATAAGCAACATTTCTCTATACTATAGATGGCGACATCTATTTTGTCTTTACACATATCAATAAAAGCACCACAGAAAGAGAATATGCAAAGAGTAAAGACACGAATGGTATTGTACACTAGACTCTCATGATAAAAGGGTGGGTGTGGGTTTTACGAAAATTAACTGTTTTTTATTTATGTGTTGTATCCAGAGGAATTGCTTCTGCAGACCGATCTTTCTATGAGCTTGCACATTTTCGTCATCGCAATCTGCATTTCATCATATTTGCTTGTTTATCTTTCGGTAAAACGTGATCAGCAACTCACATCAAGACGATGTAGGCAACGACATCTGACGAATCCTTACACTTTTCCTCTTTCCTTTTACATTCATCAATATGATATGTCAAAACAAGCGAGAATATCGTGGCTTTCATAATCGTGAGTCACATCACTTATTACAAATTCTCAAAACGTAAATGATCGAATCTGATGAAACAGGTGTTGAAATTACGGAGAAGTGCGGGTTTGTGAAAGATTTGGTGAAGTGCATTGGTGCAATCATGAACTGATTGTTTACTTTGAATCATATCGGAATTGACGTCATTCTTGGAACATATTAATCATTAACAAATAATTTTAGAAAGCATATGTTATTCTCTTTTCGCTGTAAATATGATGGAAGTCAATCATTTTCGATGTAACGAATTAGGAAATGAAACTGCAACAAGAAAAAGCTCTGCTAAAAGAAGTTATTTAATAAATGACTGACTCTAAATGTGTATGTAAAATATGAATACAGGATGTGATTAGAATAAAGACTCTGTTCTATACCACTGTTCAGCATTCATTATTGGAAGATGGAATTCATTTTCAAGTAATACATAACAGTAATAAGCGGTCTACAGCTTTTTAATGGAAAATACTCTCCTTTCCTGCAAGGGCAAACAGTGAAGATCCAAAAACAATCGACATTGTCTGTATAGCTTTGCATTTTGCAAACAATGCTTTAATACATACAACTAAATGGATTGTATCACAGTTATTCTAATGGCTCCTCGCTGTTACTGTAATGTTTCTTCTAATCAAACAAGTGTTACTTCGTTGACTTATCCATCTCGATCAATATTTAGTTCTTCCAAAACTGCATTAAAAAAGAAAGAAGAACTAAAACAACTAAATACAGAATGAATTGTAAGTTGAATTCGATTGTTTTAAATAGTTGCAGATTCTGGTTTTAAGCGTATGGTTTTAGCATGTTTTACATCAATAAAAATGAATCCAGAATGCTGTTATGTTTCTTCTTGCTTGACTTAGAGAAAGAACATCTTGATGAAACTAGTCTGATGGCGGTTAATCTTCGTCCAAGTGAATATGCAGTTAAATACGAAAAAGATATATTTGATGAGAACAGCGAAAGATACTCTCATTATCAAAAAAGAACTTCGTTAAAAACGAGATAGTAGGTACAAATATCTAGCATATTTCTCAACCCTGTCCGAATCGCATCGGGGTTGAACTTTTGTCATCCGTTTGGGTCTCTAGTAGAGAGGTATAATTGATAGAGAAAGTTTGTCCTGTGTGTACACATGATATCTATAACTAGATTTCAAAAGGCTAAGCACATTAGTATGCTTGTATTTCAGTCACTTATAGAAGCATCATAGCTTGCATACTAATTCAAGCATTGGAACAAATACTCGAACTAATATACAATAACTAGACAAGTAATTACTAACTGTGGAGAAGGTATCCTAAATTGACGCTCACAACGACACAGATGAAGAGAACAATGATGTTCTGAGGTCAATATTTCATTCTGAACACGAATTTTATATTGTAACTATATCAACACGCAACCACAATGTTTTTGTATCTGAAGAATAATGTCGTGCAATTTTCTTTTAACAAAGGATTAGTCATCTGTGTTTGTTGGATGGCGACGTGAAACCTGAAAGCTACGAAAGTCTCAAATGACAAACTTCAATCACTGCTTTAGAAATGTGCTTTGAAATCTTTTTCTCAGATTCGTTTCCATCATCGCTTCTCAACAAGAATTCTGCAGTTTTGCAGTACGAAATAATTGACTAATTTCTTTCTCGGATCGATTCGAAAATGTGTGAGAGATTTGATTGGGAAAAATTACTTCAAAAACTTTTCAGGTGCACAAAAGTCCCGTTTAAGTCGCGAACCTCTATGTATCAGACATAGTTCGATAGAATTTGAGTTTTAGTTATATTGTAGTGTATAATTGTTTTATATCAAGTTATATACCAAGATCACATCCGGCTTTGATAGTTCACAAGATCTTATACAGTCAGCAAGGTCAGACAAACGGATGCTATTAAAAAATGTTTCAGAGGAAAAATTGAAGTTGTAGAGACTCAGACGGCAGACATATTCAGGAACCCTTAGGCAGCTGTCTACATTAGATATTAGCCAAGAGAAAATTTTCTGAAATAAAATCGATGCTATTCTTTTCTCTCTCTCTTTCGTTAAGCAAAACACTTATCGCTGGGTACTGAATCTTTATTTCAGTCAATAAACAAGACACATTGTATCCTTGCTCAAATTACTGATAGAAATACGTGATGCATGAGAGACAATGATTATTTTCGTCAATCGAACGTGATGGTGACTGCAACCTGTCGGGGTATGATGGTGAGCACAAACGAATGTCCACCAGCATTGACTTGAGAACCACCATCACCAAATGTTACATATTGCATCAGTCTTGCTGCAATTACTTTCAGCTCAAATCGCGCTAAATCTTGTCCAATACATTGACGATGGCCACTACCAAAAGGAATGAATGCATAAGCATGATGATTCTTGTCTTCATTCAGAAATCTTTCGGGATAGAAGAGTTCAGGGTCGACTGACCAGTAACGAGTATCCCGTGCAAGATTGTGCAATGGAATAAACACTTGATCACCTTTTACCAATTGAGCTCCACTTTCGGGCAGACGATCATCAACGGTCAAAGTGCGAACTGTTGCATTGATGGGTGGACAATATCGGAGTACTTCCTTGAGAACACAATCCAAATACACCAATGAGTCAAGACGATCCAGTGACAAATCTTGTTTGTTATTGTCACCCATTAGTTCAGTCTTGATCTTCTGTTGTACCCGAGGATGTTTGCTCATGAGATAAATAAACCATGCCACAGCACTGGCAGTGGTTTCAAAACCGGCCACCAGGAAGAAAAGCATTTCATGCAACAGTTCACTCCGTGATAGACCTGTCAACAGACACAAATATTCGAAGAGCGTTCGAAGTCGCTTTGCTCAGCTACATACTGATTAGTCATTGAATTATTCGATTGAAGGTAAAAAGGAGAAGTTGTTAGAGTGAATAGAACTGACGAGGGAAGGTCGCAAAATGTCAAATCGCTTTTAGATCGAGTATATACTCAGACAATAGATCTTAATGAACTATTAAATAGCTTACAAAATATATTCGATATCTTGATTCATCATCCTTCGATCTGGCTCAAATTTATGTCAATACTAAGGTACTCAGTATTGATCAGGATCTCAGAGTTTGAAGATTTAAAAATTGGAAGAATGGGTTCGTGTATTTTTCAGCACAGAACATACAGTACTGATAAATCAAACTTAATTTTCGAAAGATATCGATATCTTGCATGTGCATTTCACTGGTCGAAATGAAACCTTTTTTTTGCTTGAATGCGTTCTTCGCATAGAATCGTTGATATGTCTGAAAGAGCGCATATCTGTGCTGAATATATATATATGTATATTTAATCATAATAATTAATTTCTACTACTGTTGCAAATATTATTGGTCTGATTGTTTCTCATTTATGTTCATTTGATGCAGCTTATCGTGACTATATATTATGTATTGAACCTTTTTTTCAACAACTCTCACTTCAACTGATTAAATGATTCACTTCATGATGAAAAATGCACGAATGCATTCTTTCAATGCTTGTTAACTAAAGCTTCGATAAATGAACTGACACTTTCACATGTATACTCATTATGAAATGAAGGTAGCCTGAAAATATCAGATGAATCAATAATTGCATCTTTGAGCAACAACACACATTGTTTTTTAATAATCAATCAGTATGTTAAACAGACTCATATCTTCCATAAGAAACAATGATGTGCCTTCAAAATCTTAGATGTGAATCAATACTGAGTGCCTTAATATTGATTTAAATTTGAGATGGATTGAAGCATGTTTAGTAAAGATATTGAATATATTTTGTAAGTTATTTAATAGCTCATTGAGATCTACCGTTTGAGCATATATTCGATCAAAAAAGCGATTTGACAGTTGGGAACCTTTCCTCATATGTTTATTAGAAGAATCATTTCATGTGTGAGATGTATTATCAGATCGCCTACCTTTAGAAGATTGTGAAAATTGAAAAATTCAATTTGTATTTTTCCAAGGAAAAACTGTTGAAATTTCAGAATTTCAAGTTAAGAAATCATTAAACTCCTATTGAATAACATAAATACTTCGAAGTAGCATTGAAAATATTTTTTAACTGGGAGAATTTCTAGCGTTTTTGGGGAGCCTTTGGAAAACTATGAAGTTAAACAGAAAACTACCTGAACGGTCTGCACTCTCGGGGCCAACAGGAGACACAGAGTCTGCTATTAACGAAAGAAGATAATTTCAAGAACAAGTTTACCTTTTTTAACTTCTTCACTTTTAGCTGCTTCTGCATTTTCGTCTTTTTGCAACGAAGCAACAAGTGCAGCAACCAACGAAGTTCTCTTTCGTTGTGCAATTGACTCCGCACTTTCAGCTAATTCTTGTTCGATCATTCGATGAAAATAACGTTCAATAATTACTCGTGCTCGTCGGTGTCGACGACTGAATTTGAGATAGATAGTGGATAAAATTGTTGGTGAATAGAGGAGCATTTGAAATGTGCTCAATAAATCGTGAAATGCATTTGTAAGTTCATTGTTGCATTTGTCACCGTCGAGCGTCTCCAAATCATAGTCAAATCCAATTAATCCGAAGATAGCGAGCAGAAGATTTTGACTCTGTACAACAATATCGTTATATACTTTTGAAGGAGAATTGAGTCGCCATTGGGCCAACAATTTATCCACGCATTCAACAATTACTTCCAAATTGGAAATGATTTTACCACGACGAAACAAGGGTAAAGTAATCGAGGCATGCCGTTTATACTTGGCACCTAGAGTTGATGATTAGAAAATTCTCAAAGCCTATATGTATAGCTTAGGCTCTTCTAGTAAGTCGTCACTACCGCACAAAAAATCATGATTTTTCTCAAACAGATCGCGAAATACGGTAGGAGCAAGATTCAAAGAGTGAATTTTTACTTCTGTTTATTGATAAGAAAGCGACCTTTAACCGATTTGTTTTCTTGTAATTAAAACGTTAGAGATTGACGAATTTATAGCAAACAGTCAGTCGTTTTTGAATGGAGAGATTGATTCGACACTTGGAAGAGGAGAAAAGTAAGCAGTGACTCATGTCGATCAACCGGCTGGTCCAATTCGGTTGCAATACTGATATATATGTATAGAATAAAAACTCACCTCGAATGCAAATAAGTCCATCGGGAAACATGACACTGAATTGCTGGTTAAATAAATCGCCTTGATCGTAGATATTTCGATGAGTGAATATATGTTGCACATCACCGATTCCACTTACAATTATTAAACGTTTAGAACCAAGCCAAAACTGAAAAACGTCGCCAAAGCGGTGTTTGAAGGTCGCCTGAACTTCAGTAGGCGATGTGCCATGAAACAACATACCCGATTGAATCAAATTTCCGAATAAAAGATGAGGCGACAAACCGGGCAGACCGCCACGAAGGGTGAAGTATTTTAATTTTGCATAATATACCAACAAAGCGACTGCAACAAGGATTAGTAAGAGAATCATTTATGCTTTTCAAGTATGAATGCAGATGAATGTGAGATTTATTGTGTCAACTCTCACTCTTATCAGGTAGAAAAAAACGAACTTGTGTCGCGTTTTTTTCTCTTCTTTTTTCTTTTGTCTGCCATCTATTACATGACCTTTATCACAACAAGAAGCTCTCCATTTGTCTCTACGCTGACAATGGATACAATGACATGTGGTCTTGTTTTCCACAAGACAAGTAATTCATTGATAATGCTGTCCTACAAAGAATATCTTAGGCTAAGATTCAATTATTTGTCGAAATGATTCACCCAATTGCCGAGTTCAGCCGAAGTCATGTTGGTTTCAAACAGAACTCGAAGAGTTTTATCAAATGATCTACAGTGCTAGATGTACGGAAGAAAATGACTGAAGTCGGTGGACTTTCGGCGCATTCCGAAAGTAGGATTTCGAAATTGGTTCTGACTTAATTCTTGCCAATGTTGAGATCCGACAATAATCATTGGATATGGTTTCAGATTTTTGGTAAGGTTCCAGGCTAAGATTCCGGCTATTTGGATGTGGCTGTGGCTATGCGTGTCGAGAAGATCTACATTTCACTCTCACATCCTAACATAAAATTCAGAATATGAATTGTACGAAAATAATATTAACGTTTTCTTGTACTTAATATCGAATATTTACAGTGCCGATTTCACCACTTTGTAATATTTTATATAGTTTTGATTCATATAATAATTTTGGATGTTTCGCTCGTCTGATTCAAGTTTTATAGCAACTTCTTCTCCATTTTTTATACGTTTGGCAAATATCAGAAAACGAACCTGAACCCATATTACGTACAAGACGATATTTTCCGCCGATTAAGAATTCTGGTTTTAATGATCAATACACCGCACTAACTTGATCATTAACTTGTGAAGTAGCTGGAGGGACGAACTCGATAACATTTTGTGCCACATGATATCTTCCAAGATATTCATCCAGCTGTAATTGACGACAAAATTTTCAATTTTGAACCTGTTTGCCTTCAGAAAGCAGCTTTCCACTTCAAGAATAGTACTCATGGCCTGTTAACATTCATCGAGACCAATATAAGCCGCTGTGAAATTTTCAAATAATTTGATATCAGTGGGTGTGGGTGTGGATAGATGTGGGTGTCATTTTTTCTTTATCTACACCCACATCCACACCCAGATATTTATATCCGATCAACTTTTGATACTATTAAATATTTTATTATATGATAATGACCAGTAACATGTGTTTTAAGATGTAAATGTTTATGACGATCTTTCTCAATTTCCGATAGATATATTAATATCTGCTGTTGTAACATATTGCCATGTTGAATATAAAACATTTGTAACTTTTTCATTTTGTACTAATTCATAAATGATTGAGCTTGGAAAACAAAAATTTTTTTCATTTAAAATTTACTTTATCAGAATCAACAGATATTATTCGTAGATTTTTATCAGAAAATCTATACTGAAAAAAAAACAGAATGAATTATAAATTTAAAAAATTGGAAAAGAAACTTTTTTATTTGTATACAAAGTGAATCATTTGATGATATAATAGATTTATATTGTTCAAGAACGATTAGAATTTTATCAGTTGGAAGTACTAAATCAACTACAGAATTTAATTGTTTAGATAAATTTCTATCGTTTTTTTTATTTTCTAGAGAATTAATAATTACCTTTAATAAGTATTAATTGAATCGATTTGAAATTGATTTAAGTTGTATTGTTAATGATTTAGTCATTTAACAAACTAATTAATAAACACAAACTTAAATTTTATTTATAAATATAAATAACTTGTTTTGAAATTTATCCAAAATTATTTATCAAATTAGTTATCTATAAAACAAATAAAAATAATTAAATTATGTAATAGAAACAGTTGATCATTGAGAAGGATGATTAATCTCACCAACATTAACAACATCTTCATAAAATAAATGATGAAATATACTTTATTACGTAAATAGTTGTTGGTCTTTCTTGTTTATATCTAAATATAAGATCAATCTATTGATTTAATTCTACCGAAACAAAATCACACTTCAATGTCTAATTAATTTATATTATTTCAAATCTTACCAGTTGATGAAAACGTAGAAATTCTCTCGAATTATTTTTTTTTGACAATGTTAATAAAATAACATTATTTAATACTAAACTATTCTCTAAAATATTCTGGAATAAGTTCTTTTATATCTGTCAGATTATTTCTATTTGTTGATTATCATGAATCTTTAATATTATAAAACATGCGATCGGCAACGATCAAAATGATCACTTTGTAAATGAAGAAAAACTTGTGTAAATGGTTCGATTCGAACAAGATATGATGCGATAATAATTGATGATGAATAATATGTATCATAATGATAAGGTAACGTTGAATTTGTTGGATCATCCAATTGAACAAAACATTTTTGAAATTGTATAAGACGAGCAATTGTTTGGATCTTCATTAATTTTCATAAATCACGAAAAGTATATTGATTTGTTAAATTTAATTTTTTAAATAATCAAAAGAAAACGAATTTTGTCTAATCCATCTTTTTTATACAGATTGACGCTCTCAATAATGAAGATTGTAGATCTTTCACTTATTTTGTGAAACACGATCTAAAAGGAGTGTTGAAGTGTACAGGGATAGAAATTTGCACCTACTACCCCCCCCCCCCCCCCCCCCCCTCTCACAGACGTGACAGACAGCCTTATACAAGCCACAGACTGTGACAGAAGACTTTAAGCAACTATCAGATAATGTATAACTAACATATGATTAGAGCATATATGGAATATTATCCTGTTTGAACTATATAATGTAAAGTAAAACATGGTGAAGAAATATATCCCAGCATATATTGAAAAGAACAGTTTTTAAAAGATTCGAAACAGCAGTTACATTGTGTTTCCCATTTTTAGTCCCGCAAGAGATTGCGCTAACAGCTTTACTATCTATTTATGATTTCGAAAATACTCACATAATGTAAAACAGACCAGCGTTATCTTTCGTCTCTGATGTACTTTATCCTACTTGCTTTTTACATGTTTTCGATGCATCGTATGATCTCTCACTCTTTTCTACCATTGGTTAAATTTGAATCATTGCGTTTGCTCGTGAAGATGCTGCGCAATTTCATTCCCGTAGTCGTGACATAAATCACACCACAATGATATCTATAGTCTTTTCAGACATAGGAACACTAGTTGCCATCTTTTATGTTCTGAATACATAGACAAAGAAAATTGCAATACAGAATTTGAAAAGAGTTTTCGCATGTCCCGTAAAACTTGAATAGGGGTCCGTGCATGGTTCAGAATCTAAAAAACATTTCGATCATTCAAAAGTAAACTCCAAACTCATCAAAAGGTTGAGTGCGAGTATGTGGTAGTGATTCTATTAGTAAAAATGAGCAACTCGTTCGCTCCCCAATTTGAAACGTATTCAGTCTTTTCTAAAATATACCCTCATATACTCTCTATCATAATGATAAGCCTAAATTAACATTAATGTTCCTGGATCCTACACGAGACTTTTGTAAAAAAAAAGACCGCTATTGAAATTGTTTTCTATTTTTCTCGGCTCAGAAGCATCTTTAATCAATAAGAAGGTCATATTCAAAATTTTCTTTCGATTGTTCGCTATGAGGTCTAACTTAGCTGAATTTTTTGAAAAAGTTATTTTTTTGGAAAGGACCATCTCTGCTTCTGATCGTTTACTAGGATTTGGTGTATGAATCATCGAGACGAAATAAGTATTTATTCGCAAAAGAGGCTACATTTGCTTTCTGTAGAGCGGTGTTCGGAAAAAGCAACCAATGATTCGTCTATGAGTGCTCTTTTGTTTCTGTGCAATAGTAAATCAAGCTTGTTGTTTATTTCATTTTCTTGAGTATCATATGATTTGCAATAGATTAATTGAGACATTTTTTTTGCGTCTTTTTATTGTAGAATCGAAAGCGTCGTTAGCTGGAGCTAAATAAAAAGTCGTATACTGCTTTCAGTTGAAGTCTTTCCAATAAATGATTACTCGTTTCGTCGAGGTACATTAATAATTTGGTTAATTTGCAATTTCTTGGGTTGTACTCCAGGATTAGCAGCAAGAATTGCTGTTAGTGTGCATCCATACTTTCGGCTCAATGCCCAGAAAGTATCACCTTCTTCGATCTTGTGAGTCAACAGTGCAGCATTGTTGCGAGAAACAGAATCAACATACGAGTAAACAGTTTTTTCCAACACTAAAAGATAAGAAATTCAAGAAGATTATCGTTTCTCTCATAAAATTGTATTTCTGTGTGTTTATATCTCGTTGAGAATTTATCCATTGAAAGAAAACCTCTGGTGTTTAATTACATTCATTATCAATATTGTGTACGCATAATCAAGCATACAATAGAAAGAAAACGGATAAGACGTCTATCTATTTTTTTGGCTATCTTATTCTGTAGTCGAGTGAAAGAGTAGACTATGTATATGGTAAGACAACATTATGCAAAGAGATGCACAAAATGCAAGGGATTTATCAGCAGTGCTATTTATTCTCTGTTAGCTTTGCCTCCTTTTAGGTAAAGATATGTGGATTCAGTTTACTAATCACCGACAGTGTGCCTATTTAACACTTAATACACTGCATTATTGCCACTGAAATACTGAAGCTAGCTGGAACATTTGACGATCAGCCAATACTGACTATGCTGATATCGGCTTTTAAGAAAATATTGAGGAACGGATGCTGGTTTTTATTGACTACAATATATATATAAAAGGAATAATAAGACGCCATCGGGATGGAAATATCAATGCATGGCATATTTTTATTGCATGAGAGCGTATAAGTTTAATTGTTTCTCTTTTTTTTATTATAGTTGATCTTATTCATTTCTGCTCTTCCGACCATTTTGTTGAATCTATGTTTACATTTAAGTTTTGGCTTGCATTGCTGAAGAGTGAAACCAATTATCTTTAGCATCATTTTTTCTATCTTCTCGGTCGATACATCATATCACACTATTAGATAAGAGAAAAGAAAGTATTCAACTCAGTTTTTGTCTTGCTTCTTCAAATATGTATACCTCTCATGTTCGAAGAAAAATTTTTATTATTCGTGAATTCACAGATATTCGCGTACGAAGATAAGGATGTCACACATTGTGTGTGAGTACGTCTTATCAATTCCAACACTTACCATCACACACCTATCTACTCACACCCATTCTAAATAAAAGTACCAAAGCTGTATACTCTGTCAGAATCGGTGTTTCACTGAGCGCCGATATCAGTGCAGTCCGTGTTCGCTGAACGTCAGTATTGCAGTGAGCTTAACTGTTTGAGTGACTATCAATGTCAATTTAGTTAGTGTCTCAGTGACATCGACTCAATGTAGTAAGTATTCAGTAGATCCACAGTCAATAAAATCGGTGTCACTATTTCAATATTTATGTTCGAACCGCACATCCATATTTTAATACAGAATGTCCTACAAATCTTTTCCAAAGGGAACTTTGTATAATTCTCTCATAGATAAAGTGAGATCGACCACCTTTCTCTTTCAAATAGTATTCATTATTGTTACGATTTTGTTCGCAAAACAAACTCACCAATATTGATGAAAGTAACGGTCTTAGATTGTACGAAAAAAGCTATGAACGCTATCCGATGGGGACTTATATATGAAACACGATGAAAACATTCAACTTCACATCTATTCACCACACTCACGCTCGACAATTTCAAAAGTTTCCATTGCTTATCCTTTGTGACGGTAGGCTGCCATGACTTGTAATCGATGTCACTGCGTACAAGTTCACGTTATCTTGATATGTTTTTTTAGACATACGTGTTCCGAAAAAAGTCTATTTCCTGATATATCATGCTCCATTAATCGAATAAACTGTTCAAAAATGGTAGTCGCCTGCAAGGATCGTTTTAAGAAGGCACTAACAGCTATCTGGCTCGTCAGCTGGATTTTCTCGATTTATAGCCTTTGAAGAACATCTACATGTAATGGTTATCGATTTCACGGTTATTTTCGAACAATTGGTCAATGGGCAATCATTAAAATTATCGTATGCGACAGCATGCTTTGTTTGAATATCTTTCGATTGGATTTTTCACTTCACTATTACACGAGAGATGTTTTTGAGAGCAGCTATTTCCATGGATTACTTACAAACACATTAGCTCATATTAACACTTACTGCGAAGTGCTTGCTCAAACTGAGCCATTGGTGTAATTGGTACACCGGTGAGCTTAGAATCAACCTGCAATTACAGAAACACATGTTAGTAGAAAACATCATTAAGATGTATGGAGTGAATTAAACTTGCTAGGGCAGTATATTAGAATCCTACCTCAGTAGTACCGTAGAGATCGTGTTGACTCTGAGATAAACATTCCAGTTCATCTGGAAGATTTGATGAAAGAGGGTGTGAAGACGAAACTCTTGCAATCGTCTTCCGTTGATATTGATATAGTCCATCAGTGAATTGAGACGGATGCTCGTATCCTGTGTCCGTTATCATTTGCATATCAATATCATTGCCAGTCATGACTTTAAAATCAAAAGCTTCAAAATAACCAAACACTTTCTACAAAACGATCTCAACTTACTTTCTCTTGTGGCAGATACGGGAAACAAACTAGTGTCAGTTTGAGAAGCAGATGTACTATGATTCAAGCGTGGCTGATTTACATCATTTATTTTAACCATCGGACTTTGGTACGCTGTATCCATGTTTGTCGTAGCTGTGGATAACGAAACACTATCTAAACACGATAATATCGAAAAAGACTTTATCTCCTAAAATAGTGCAAGAAGATAAAAGGGAAGATCAAGACAAGGCTACAGCTTCATAATGCGAATTAATGTGATATAAAAGCTAAAATTAAGGTCGAAGGCAAAATATAGTGCGGTCAAACACTTTCTAAACATACGAGGAACAAACATACCTAATAGTATTCTGTGATTTCCAATATTCGAAAGAACTACACTGAAAAAAATGGACATAGAATAATAGACCCTCAAAAAAGGGTCTATTATTCTATGCCCATTTTTTTCAGTGTAGTTTGAGTGCATAGAGCTCAGTCATACTGATCAATAAGTTACTAAATAATCAAATAAATAGGCATAAAACTGCGAAGGATTGCTTTTGCAAAATATTTTTCATTCCAACTTGAACTTCACTACTATCACCCGCTAGCAAAATGTCCTCTTCAGATTGTTACAAAGTAGAAGTTTATGAGTATATAAGCGCTTTCTTGAGACACTCTCACCAGCAAAAAAAGCCTCAATCACTCCATCAGCCATCCGTAACGAGTAACTACGTGGTTCGATACGTGTCTATCAGATAATGTATTCAAACTACAATACCGTCAACCAGAGGTTGTTCGATTTATTGTTTCGGTTAGCAACGAAACAGAAACATGTTCAAACTCACCTGGTTCGTGTAGATTTATATCATT